GTCATGGATGCAGTTTGTCTCAACTCTACCAGCCCCTCGTGGCTCAAATGATGGACGGATAACAGAGTGTCACATATTTTGGAAGCTAGATATACAGATAGCACCTGAATTGCCTGCTCTCAGTTTTCCCATCATTTCCTCCGAGATTACACAGCTAACTTCATTCATTCCCCATTTCTCCTTTCCTTGGAGTTTTGCAAACAATATATCAATCTGTGGTCTGGATTCTCTGTTTGACATTCTGTCTTGGGTTGTTCCCACTCCTCCTTATTCCCCAATTTAGTGAGCAGATCTAAGAAATATAAATGCTGTACTTGAGTCCTTCCCCCTTGGTAGAGATAAGATCAGAAAGGAAAGAAGATGTATGCAATCCCTTGATCACACTCAATGCTCCAAGGCTCTGCAGCTAGCTGTGCTAAAGGGAAATCCTTTCTGACCCTTCTACACCGTGGCCCACAGATTCTGGTGACTGGCACCAGCTCCACCCTAAGGAGCGCAGATGCACAGACCAGCTCAGTCAGAATGTGCATTTCCTACAGGGTTCCCAACAGAGGATCTATTAGACTTGGAGAGTCTGGGTCTCTACTTAGTCTGCTGCTCATTTCCTGCCTCATGTGCCTTCCAAGAACAGTCAGGTTTCCTCCAGATCACGGTCCCCAACCTGGGGGGTGAGAAGAATTCATTTCTCCTTCATTTACTCGCTGTGTTCTCTCTCTCTCTGCCCTTCTCAGTGTTTATTACCCTTTCTCCTCTGCACTGCATGATTTCCAACTCCCCTGTGATCTGTGCGTGTGTTGTAAGAAACTAAGAGAGACACCCCCAGTGTAACCTGCTGCTGGACTTTGGGTCTTAACAGAGATAACGCATTATATCTTTCTGGCTTTCTCAATTCTACTTGTTTACTAGGTTCATTTCTCCAAGTATTAGAGTAACCAGTGCTCATGTTAGAAATTGATATTCCGTCCCCAGAACTGTGTAGAGGGTGTTGTTCTTACCATGGTCATGTCCGACTGCTTTCTCCTTTGCTCTATAATGTTTCCCTCCAGATGATTGAGATATGAGCATCTGCGGATGAGCCTCAGAGAATATCTGCAAAATGAATGAACCCATTGATTTGCATGAAGATTTCATGACCACCCTTTTAGACATCACCCAAGTTTTGGTCTTGAAAGCAGCTAAGTAAAATGTCCAGAATTAGAGACTGAACAGGCATAATTTCACTAGGGCAACCTAGCATTTTTGTTTCAGATAGAGCTGAACTCTAAGTTCCTCTGGCTCCTATATTGGTTAAAGCAGTGATGATTTCATTGAAAACACATTCCCTGCCAACATATTAGACATGTTTGTAAATGCAGTGTAAGCAACCCTATCTCACATCCCCATGAGAAATATCAACACTGTATATACTTAAACAGAACATCTTGAGAAATATACTTAATGTTATGTGGCATCACACATTTTCAAAAATGAATTTACAGAAATTTTTAAATTATGAGACTTGCTGTGAGAAGAGAGTTGGAATTATGGGATGTGAAGCACAAATGAAACTCTGTTTTTCTTGCCTCATTTTGGTCATCAAGGCCTCACAAGATCTAAAGAGCTTTTAGTAAACGTTTCACTTAGAGGAAATCCAGTTCAATAAAATGACAAAGTAAGATAAAGAAATGTTTCTTACTGTTGAAAAAAAGCACACGCAATCTGGGTAGAGGAAACAACATATTCTCCTGAGAGAGAACTAGAAAGTCCCCCCACTGAAGAAAGAAGGCTGCAGAACCACACACAGTCTGTCCTTATGTTTTTCAGAGCTGAGTCACAGTGACTGCTGGGAGGTTTCCAAGTGAAAGAGAGCTGCTGTGGAAAAACTTTGGGAACCACTGTAGAGAGCTGCAGACCCAGTGACGCCCAGAATTTTGGCTTTTAAAATAGTAAATCCACAGGAGAAATATCTGCTGCAGTGTTAGGGGAAAATTGCAAGGGGTGGAAAAGGGGAAGTTTTTCTCTAATGAACTGAGGAAAAGAATTCTGCCAACTCCATATTTAATGGAGGAAAGAAGTAGACACCTACTCTCATCTCATACATTGTTTGTGAACCTGAAAATAAGAATTTTCACTCTGGAAAGCAGTGTGGAGATTCCTCAAGAAAGCTAGAAATGTAACACCTCGACACCAAGCCACAGTATGCCTTGGCATTTATCACAAGGAACTAAGAATCAGCTTATCAGGGAGACACGTCAACATCGCTGTCTGTAGCAGTGCAATTTGCAACATGCAAGTTATACATGCACTCCCAAGAAGGATGGAGTATGGACTGCAAATTCCTGCTAGCAGTATCAGGGTGCTGAACAGAAGCCAACTTTACTCAGAGTCCTTTTTCTAGTCATTTCTCATAGATCAGGAACTCCAGCATTTAGAAAAGTTCTTTACAATACTTTACTGTGTCCTGAATTCAGTGGCTCTGAAGGCACACCCAACACTATTCAGGCTGGGCTGGGAGAGAAATGACATACAGAGATGCTGAGAGTTCTGGGCAGCTACAGCAGGTCTCGGGATCTACAGAAGGACTAGAAAAACCCCAGGGCACTTTCCCTTCTGATGTGGTGTTTGCAGTTCTGTGACATCACGCCAGGGATGTGTCTGGCAGGAAACTCATGGCATGCAGTACCACACATATGAGCAGACATCTCAGGTACGGTCAACCCAACATGGTCAGTGGCTTTTGGAGTGTTTGCTCCCACTTTTGACATAGAGGTGATTCTAAGCTCTTCCCTTAGAAGAGAAGGGTGATTTCACTGGATCCCTGTTGTCAAGCCCCTTTTGGAAGGGTCTGTCTGAGAGATGAGAAGGCAGTGCATGAGTTGTGTCCCCCAGGCACAGCTGCAAGCTCTCCTCACGGGATGGCAGTTGTGTGACCTCATACTATGGCCTACAGCAGAGATGAAGGGAACGTGCTGAAAACTCTCTTTAGCACGAGGTGTGCTATGCCAACTGGACAACCTGTAGAGTAGAGGCCAACAGGGGCACTGCACATTCCAAATAGGTGCTTGGAGAAGAGTGGTTGTGAGGGAGAACAGCTGTGCAGGAATTTGAGAGGCAGAAAGGTAAAGGAGAGCTGGGGCAAGGTCTGGTGAGAAGATAGGTTCTTGCATTTTCCAGAACAATGTAGATTCTGCCAACAGACCTCATCTGCCATGCTCAAAGAGTGTCAGGAAACCCCGGCACTAGCAGATCACGTGTGTTTGAGCTGAGAGACCAGAAAAGCACGGGACAACATCTGCCTCCAAGCAATCCCATCATGGTTTGGGATTCTATAGTTGGAGACCCTGGATAGAAATTCCCCAATTTCAATTTATTAACAAGGAGAAATTAGACGCTTTTCTCATTGCTCTTGTATTTTGTGTCAGTTATTGAGTAGGGGGTTTCCTCATTCTTTCTTTCTTTCTTTCTTTCTTCCTGTTCCATGTCATTTTCTGAGATCTTGGCTCCTTCCTTGTATGTTTCCCCTGTACTCCCTCTTCTTGCCACCTGAAATCCAATACTTTCTCATTGTTACATGACTTTTTCTGCTATTTCGTCCTCCAGCTCTGTTTAATCACATCAGTTTCATTCTCCTCCCTTATTAAATTGCATCCTAATTATTTTATGACGACAGCTGCCTGTTTTTTCAGCCAGGTGTACACTGTTGTTCTTCATCTCACCTCTCCAGTTTGTGTGATCACTTTAAACAAGCCTTTTCTTAATAGGTGATACATGTTCTGCTTTAAGTTGTCATTCTTACTGGAAGTTATCCCCTACTCTTAGAAATGTCCTGGTGGGTCATCATAGTACACGCTGGTCATGTCAAGTTGGGTACTTAACACTGAGATAGCACCCCTGCCTAGGGCACTAAAGGACTTTGCACTGAAGGGCCTACACATATCCTGAGAACAGAAATCCATCCCAATGCTTGCAAAACCTCAGTCTTATTAACACAGATAAAGTGAGAAGAAAAGGCAAGAAACATTTCAAATTGCTTAATTCTCCAATAATAGCATTCAAAGACTTTTTTTTTCTATCACTCACTAAACAAGTTGGATAAAAATGTCTAATAATATTGACTTCCTTATGGTTTGAAAAGGGAAAAAAAAACCTAGAGAGTTCCTGCTTTTACCCAAAAGCAATGGTCCCATTCTGGGAAGTTTTACTTTCCTTAATAGGCCACTGGTATCTTCTTTGAGGTTACTATTTGCATTGAGAGACACGCTGATGTCTAGGCCGTATGAAAATCTTTCCCCTTGGCATGAAAGCATGTTCATATGTAAGTAAAAGTGAGCCCTTGGAAGGACCATCCTTTACCCTAAATGCACTCAATGGCCATTGCCACTATATATGTTTATTAATTCAAATGGATATTCACAACTACATTTAACTTCTTCATCATTTAAGGGGGTTAGAAAAATGGAAGCAGAAACAATATTCAGAAAAATTTCTTTCCTGATCATAAGGATACTATTTACCTGTATGTTATGATAAATTCTAATGCTATTTTCAGATTCATGACCAGTTAAATTCTTTTAGACTTGAGTATTAAATTACCATCTTTGGATTTCGAAGCACTGTAATGAAAGATAGTTCAATTTGGCCTTACGGACTTTCTTAAAACAAGGAAAACGGGAGAAAACCAGGAGTTTAAAAGGATGTGTGTTCACACCTGTGGCTGCTTATTTTTGGTGTCGTCCAGACCTTCCTCCTCCTCCTCCTCTTCTTCTGATGATGAGAACCAAAGTGGTTTGGCTGAAAAATGCATGTAAGATTTACTTAAACCACTGAGAACATTAAGACAGAGAGTCTGTCAAAAATAAAAATAGTAAGCTTTAATTTTAGGTGACTGTTTACCTTTTTAACTCTTTATTGGTGGGGTATACTTGTGTGTCCTCGGTGATTTAACCCTAGGACTTTGCAATGTTGGAAGTGCTCTGCCACTGAGTTATATCCAAAAGACCCCCACCCTTTTTTTTGGAGGCTGGGTCTCTCTAAAGTGTTTGTCCTGACCTGAGACTTGCATGCTCCTGTCTCAGCCTCCCAAGTAGCTGGGTTTAGAGGTAATCCACTGTGCCCAGCAGATACTATTTCAGGGGATGCTTTTTGTGATATAAAACTTCAACATTCTACCCGGGAGACACTACATATCACCAGATTCAATACACAAAAATGTCTCAAAGTTATATCCACTCAAGATGAATGAAAAGTTGCCAGAATTAAATTTTTTAAGAACACTATACAAATGTGGGGATTCATACTATTTGCTATTTTCTTCCTTCATAATGGTAACTTTTAAAAACAACTACTCATCAACAGTCATTTCCACAACGATTGATATTTTCTACACTGTTATCAATGAACACCTGTATCTGCAACGTTTTTCTTCATTATTCTGAAAAATGTGGTTTTTTTTTTTGTAAGACAGTCTGTTTGTTCAGTCCTGCATGATTATGAATCTCCTTGTCATAAAGTAGTTTTTCTTTCCTTGGGGTACCTTAGCATTTCAGCCACTGTTCAACTGGATATCTACCAGCTAACCTGTAAATTACTCCATTTCCTGTCTAGCCCTTTGGCTCCTGGACTTGAGGGGACCTGTTTTACATCACCTTGGCAACAACAGTTTATTTGAACCCATAAGTAAGAGTAGAGAAAAAAGGTACCAGAGATAGTGGCTTTCCTGGAACTGAAACTCAGCAGAGACTAAAGGACTAAGGTTACCAGCCAGAGGCAGAAGGTGGGGAGAGCTTGAAAGGCTGTATTTGGACACAGGATCAAGCATTAAATGAGTCTGAAAACAGAGACTGGTGAGAATCAGTGCCAGAGAACGGTGAAGGCAGGGGAAGTGGATCTGGATTCAAGAGTTCGGCGGAACTCATGTTATGAGAGATTTCTGGGTAATTTTAAAAGCTGGCCTTTCATGTTCTAGAGAAAAGTTCATGGTCACATTTGCATTGTAGCTAGACAGCTCTAAATGCTGGGGGTGAGTATGGAGAGCATATAAGTGAACAGGCAGCAGAAGTGCCCAATAGAGGGAGGCAGGCCAGAATGGGAAAATGTCCCGAGAAATACAGAGGATATATCATTTTCTGGGATCAGTGTAGAATGAAGTTTCATTAAATAAATAAAGGACAAAGCCAGTCCCTGGAATATGAGGCTCTGGAGTATTACACAAGGTTTCAAATGACATGTGAAATAAAATAGCAACAGTTTAAGTTCTTTGGGTTTACCATGTAGTCTTTCCATTTCACATTTTCCTATGTTGAAGGGACTCATTTCAGTGGTGGGGGGCGATTTCCTTAATTTTGGATTTACCCAACCCTCCAATGAATCAGAGCAGTCTGTGGGAAAAGCTTTGTGGTAGAGCCACTGCTTAGCATGCAAAAGGATCTGTGCTCAGTACCCACCATTGAAAAATAAACCCAAAAACAAACAAGCAAGCAAAAAACAAGCAAAGAAAGCATGAAAAGGGAATATACATGATGGTTTGTGTACATAAGTTTGAATTTATAACTCTGGGTTAAAAACAACTTCAGAAAATAGTAAATTTCTACAAATACTCTATTAGTTTTACAGGAAATGAATAAAATAAATACCCAATCATACTTTGTATGGATCATCACCATCACATGAGTGACAACAGGCACAGAATAAACAGATGCATCAAGTGCAACACAGTTCAATGTAACTATTCAATACAGTGGGTCTTATACTAGAAATCAAATTTTAAGTGGGTCTTATTTCACATACTACCCTTAATCCCTGGGTTCATACAAATATTTTTATGTTCAAATCCCAAGATTTGGAAATTATCAGCAGCTATGCCATAAGTTTTTATAAACTCTAGGGGGAAATGGAGCCTTGTAATTCACCTAACAGGCATAAGGATTCTAGCTGGGGAACTTTAAATTTAGAAATAATAAAGATTTTTTAGAAATCATTTTGCTGTGTCTTTAAAGATATACTTTTAAGCTTGTATGCCAAGGTAGACACTGGTTTATTTTTTGTCAAATCCCCCCACTAATTAGGGAAAAATCTCCTAGCATTTCAAATATTTTATTATAGTTCTACAGAACTTGCATTGCAAAATTTACCTGATTTGCATATTCTTTCTTCTGTTCTCCTCACTATATTCTTTTGAAGAAAATACCTCCTGTCTAGGATTGGCTGTATGGGTTTGGAAAACAGATATTAATACATGTTGTACATTTTATACAATAAAGTCAATAAATTCAAGATAAATATAGAAGTTTATAATTACCTTCACAAAACAATGTGTGAAATCCTGAAATGCTGAAAAGCAAAAGAAATATATAATCCATAAAACATAAATATGACAGAACCACCCACACCTTCCTGCTGAATCAACATGGGGCCATGTTCCATGGGTTAGCTTTGATGAAGAATGTTTTAGCTTTTGGGCTTCTGTGTTTGCTGTTTTTTTTTTTTTTAATGAGTACAGCAACATGAATCAAATATACTGGAGAAGAACATCCAATATTAGTTTAATTAAACATGGAGTTAAGTTTCCAAAAGTGAGATTATATTTCCAGTTACCATAAATCTAATAGGCAATGTACACATAACAAGTGTACTGATTGAGGGAATGAGGATATCTAATCAGAGGAGCAAAGCAGGACCTTCAGGGCATAAATATCTAAAATGAAGTAAAAATTTAACAGCATGGGTGTTTAGTGTAGCCTGTAACAATCACTTAATCAACTTTATTACAGGTATATATCCTGTTCTTCCATTTGTCCTCCTATATAGTAAGACCAAAGTTGTGATAACAGTCCAGTGGAAAGTATAATTCAGTTGCACTGAGGAAAGTTCTGTGAACGGATCAGCTTAGATATATACTTATTATACTAATCTATTTTTCCATACCCATGCAGGACAGTGGTGTATCTTCTTTCACTGTATCCTCTGGTCTAACATACTGAAAGCTGCTTGATTCACTCATTTGAGAAGACATAGGAACCACATCTAATAAACCATGTATAATAAGCATAAAATATTAAAATATGGAAATTCAAAAGAATTATCAGATATAAATAATCTTTTACATTTCAAATTCATTGGCATATATACAAAGAATAACAAGTTTTGGTATTCAAAGAATAAACCTATAGAGTCTGCTGTTTACAAAATGAGCCTGGTTTGGTATATCTTGTTAGACTTTCAAGGATTTTCATGAAATAGCTATCTTATCAGAACATTAACTATCTAGAGATGAGGACTTAGCAGAGTAATCGAGTGCATTCCTAGCATGCTCAAAGACATGTTTCAGTGAAGGAAAAGTTAACTATCTTTCAAAATGTCCAGTGCTTCTGAAATGCTACGTTTCTCATTTGAACTGACATCAAGGCCACATTCTTCCCTAAGCTTGGTAATTATGGAGAAGAGAAATGACCCAATTCTACCCATTTCCTCACTTAGAATCATCTCTGGACCAGTAATTCTCACTTTGGTTTGAAGGCAAATATTCTGAAACCAGCTGAAATGCATCCTCTCAGTCTCCTTATTATCACCTTCGAAATTGCCTAGCTAATTTATTTTGTTCCCTCCTCATTTCCTCTTCCCTTTGCTTTTCAAAAACAACCTCTACATCTGTGGTCTTGATTCTTTTTTACATTTACTGTTTGGGTTATTTCCACTACTTTTTCTTCCCAATTTAGCAACTGTATCTTAAAACTACAATTTTCAGGGGATGGGGTTTTTGCTCAGTGGTAGAGCACTTGCCTAGCATGTGTGAAGTACTGGGTTTATGCACCACATAAAAATAAATAAAGGTGTCCATGTATAACTAAAAAAAATCGTTAAAAAATACAATTTTATGCCTTCATCCTTTTGTCCATTCCCTTTGTCAAGAGACATGCCCTGAAAGAAAGCAAGATTTATGCTTTCACTTGTTCTGGTATGCCCTGAAATAAGACACAATGGCCCTTCATTTAGATCTTCTAAAAGGCAGTTAATTCTCTTGCAACTCAGAATGTGGCACGTGGATGAGGAGCATTAGAAGCTTCTTTGAATCCATTAGGGATGTAGAACCAAAGACCTGCTGAGTTAGAACATATATTTGTACATGGTCCCCAACATATGATTCACTGAAGTTTGAGAGTTCATCGGCATGCTTAATCTTCAACCAATTCCTCTAACTTGCCTATTTGATGTTTCTTTTTGCTTTGTTATTTTGTTATTGGTACTGGGGATTGAACCCAGGGTGCCTAACTACTGAGCCACATCC